AAAACAAATAGACTTGAAAATACAAGTCCACGTGGTTGGTTGCATTTTACACTTATCTATAACATTATTTGAGAATTAAATTTGCTTAATTGTCAACTTCTCCATGATTTTAGGTAAATTTGTTTATTTTCATGTTTTAATAATTTATTATATAATAAAAACGAATTTATGTTAATAATATTATATTTTTAGAAAATATGTTAATTCTTTTGTATTAGATTGTTATCTTAAAAATATATTTTTCAATTATTATTTTAGAAGTAAATTTGCTTAATTGTCAACTTCTCCNTAATTTATTATATAATAAAAACGAATTTATGTTAATAATATTATATTTTTAGAAAATATGTTAATTCTTTTGTATTAGATTGTTATCTTAAAAATATATTTTTCAATTATTATTTTAGAAGTAAATTTGCTTAATTGTCAACTTCTCCATGATTTTAAGTTATTTTGCTTATTTTCATGTTTTAATAATTTATTATATATAAAAAAGAATTTATGTTAATAATATTATATTTTTAGAAATATGTTAATTCTTGGGAAATTGCCAAAAATAACACTTTCAAGATACCACTTTCCAATTTTATATTAACCAACTTTACCATTAAAATTTTAATAGGCAAAATACTATTATACCCTTAACTAATAAACTTAACAATTTTAATAACGTTTTGATGGATTAGGGTTTAGAGTTTATAATTTAGAGTATAAGATTTCAAATTTAGGGTTTAGAATTTAGGGTTTAAGATTTCGAATTTAGGGTTTAGAATTTAGGGTTTAAGATTTTGAATTTAGGGTTTAGGGTTTAGAATTTAGGGTTTAGGGTTTGAATTTCGAAATAGTACAATTCGAAAAAATAATTTTTTTTTTGTATCTTGTGTTTTTATTTATTTAAATATTTTATTTATATATATAAAGTTTGAGGGTATAAGAGTCTTTTATCCTTTAATGAAAAGTGTATTTTTGAAAATGTTCATTTGTTAATGGTAAAAATGAAAAGTGGTACCACCAAAGTGGTATAAGTGAAATTTTCCCTTAATTCTTTTGTATTAGATTGTTCTCTTAAAAATATATTTTCAATTATAAAATTTAAGTGAATTTGCTGATTAATTTGTATCTTTCACGTTGAAAGTTAGAGCGGTTAATATCATTTATATCCTTAATGAATAATTAAAAATTTTANCCACCAAAGTGGTATAAGTGAAATTTTCCCTTAATTCTTTTGTATTAGATTGTTCTCTTAAAAATATATTTTCAATTATAAAATTTAAGTGAATTTGCTGATTAATTTGTATCTTTCACGTTGAAAGTTAGAGCGGTTAATATCATTTATATCCTTAATGAATAATTAAAAATTTTAATATAATTAAACCGAAATAAAACGAATTTCAATGATTTTAGATTTATCTTTATCTAAAACTATTTTATATTCGGTTATAATGTATTTATTAACCTTGAAAAATAATTATATTAGTTAATATATAATTAATTATAAATTAAAAACGAATTTCATTTATTTGATAATTATCCTTATTTTTTTTTATATTTTGTGATAAAGTCTTTATCAACCTTGAAAATAAATTATATTTGTTAACATATAATTAATTCTAAATTAAAAAAATGAATCTCATGAATTTGATAATTATCTTTATCTAACTTTTTTATATTGTGTTATAAAGTCTTTATTAACGTTGAAAAATAATTCTATTTGTTAATATATAGTTAATTATGAAAAATCAATTCACAAAGAATTTATGTATAGATAATTATATTGTGTTATCAAAAACATTATTAAAGATAATTTTTTATATTTTTTTGTTATGTCTAAAAATGATATTAATTTATTACTAAATGTTTTAAGTTCATGAGTATTTTCAAATATAAGTTGTGTAATGAAAATTATTTACATGATGATGAAAAATTTTATATATAGAAAGAATTTGTTAGTTTATTATTAAATATTTTGAGTCTATGAACTATAATTTATTATAATTTATATAAATTGATTATATATTTATTTATAGATATTAGTAAAATTATTAAGCCCGTAAGTGCGGGCAAAACACCTAGTTTAACTTTATTTTTTAGTCATTTTTTTCCCCAAATACACATGTTAATTTAGTTCAATTTTAATTTTATTTATTAAATATAATGTAGAGGGTAGAGATAAATCGTGGACCATCCGTTACAAGTTTACAGTCAGCTTCCTTCTTGCCTCTCTCTCTCTCTCCATGGCTGTCGCGCTTCAGTTCTGCCGAATTTGCATCCGCCCGGATACTTTCGCCCCCGGATCTGGATCCGGTTCCCTCCGCCGCCGGAAACCTTCATCACTCCGATGCTCATCTGGAACCGAGGAAGCTCCTTCGCCATCGGTGGTGATGGACTCCGACTTCGACGCCAAGACGTTCCGCAAGAACTTAACAAGAAGCGATAATTACAACCGTAAAGGGTTTGGTCACAAGGAGGAGACTCTCAAGCTCATGAATCGCGAATACACAAGTAAGTTCCACTCTTTTTGCTGGATGCTCTGTTTTTTTTGCTAAGTTCAGCTGTTTTTTTTGCTGGATGCTCTGTTTTATATAGTGAAATTAAAAGTTTTGGTTTTTCAATTGAAAAATGGATTGTTCTTTGGTTCCTTTCATGTGAAGACGACATATAATGTTGGGTTTGATTCAAAAATTGAATTTGGTGAACCATCTTGGATACTCTCAGGTGATGTGTTGGAGACGCTGAAAGCAAATGGGTATACATACTCTTGGGGAGATGTTACCGTGAAGCTAGCTAAGGCTTATGGCTTTTGCTGGGGTGTTGAGCGTGCTGTCCAGATTGCTTATGAAGCAAGAAGGCAGTTTCCCGAGGAGAAGCTTTGGATTACTAACGAAATCATTCATAACCCCACCGTCAATAAGGTGCTGTTCAGTCTTCTTTTACAACTTTGTTAGCTAGATGTCATTGCTTTGTGTGTGGCTACTTGATGCTGTTGAAATCGAATTGAACATTGATGAATTGCGTATTTACTGTTCATGGGTCTTCTTAAAGTGTGAACCTTTTGATGTTAGAAGAAAGGGAAATTATATTGGAGATAGTGATATGTATTTTGAACTCTCAGGTGACGTTTTGGTACTATGTTAGATGCTATTGCTTTGTGTGGTCACTTGATGTAGTTGAAGTTGCATTTTAACATTGTGACTTGCGTGTCTACTGTTCATGTAGTTGAACCTTTTGATGTTTTGTTATGGACAGAGGTTAGAAGAAATGGATGTTAAGATTATTCCCGTTGAGGATTCAAAGAAGCAGTTTGATGTAGTGGATAAAGATGATGTGGTTATCCTTCCTGCGTTTGGAGCTGGTGTTGATGAGATGTATGTTCTTAATGATAAGAAGGTCCAAATCGTCGACACCACTTGTCCATGGGTGACAAAGGTACGTCCATGATAACTGCCATCATCTCAAATTTCATGCACCAGTTCATCTCTAGCGTAGCTGATTGGTTTCTTCCTTTTTTGATATTTGTGGCTCTGAAGGTGTGGAACATGGTTGAGAAGCACAAGAAAGGGGAATATACATCGATCATTCACGGTAAATATAATCATGAGGAGACCATTGCAACTGCATCTTTTGCAGGCAAGTACGTCATTGTGAAGAACATGAAAGAGGTATAAACTTTATTCTGTTAAAAACTTTTGTATATGCGTAGTGTTTTGCAAGACTGTTGCTGATGTGTATATTATTACTGAGCACAGGCGAATTACGTTTGTGATTACATTCTTGGTGGTGAACTCGATGGATCTAGCTCCACAAAAGAGGACTTCATGGAGGTAAAGAGAGCTTCCTTACACATTATTTTTCTGTTTCTTGATTGATGTACTTTTGTAGTGATCTCTAATCGTTAATATGGTGGCGTTGTAGAAATTCAAGTATGCTGTTTCAAAGGGTTTTGACCCTGACACTGACCTTATCAAAGTGGGTATTGCAAACCAAACTACAATGCTTAAGGGAGAAACAGAGGAGATTGGTTAGTTAGTTAACTCTAGTGTCTACTACACTGCCTTATATCCTTGGAGACTGTATCTCATGCCCTAAAAAACTTGCAGGAAAATTAATTGAGAGGACAATGATGCGCAAGTATGGAGTGGAAAACGTTAATGGACATTTTATCAGCTTCAACACCATATGCGACGCGACTCAAGTACATTCCCCCAAAAAATCTCTATACTTAGTCTTTGTTCGTACACTCAAGGAAGTGTTTATTCATCTTTTCAGGAGCGACAAGATGCAATCTATGAGTTAGTGGAAGAGAAGATTGACCTCATGCTAGTGGTAGGTGGGTGGAACTCAAGCAACACTTCTCACCTTCAGGAGATCTCAGAGGTCCGTGGAATCCCATCTTACTGGATCGACAGTGAGCAACGGATAGGTCCTGGGAACAAAATAGCCTATAAACTCCACGTAAGTCAAGTGTCATATACACACAACAAAGTCCTCCTTCAATAGCTTTCAACGATCGTTCTTTGTTTACATTGATAGTACGGAGAGCTTGTGGAGAAGGAGAATTTTCTTCCAAAGGGGCCAATAACCATCGGTGTGACATCAGGTGCATCAACCCCAGACAAGGTAAAAATATGTATTTTCATTTGCAACTGGTCTTTGTTCTTGTTTTTTTGTTTCAGCACGACATTCGTGAAATGTTGTGTGAATTGTTCAGGTTGTGGAAGATGTTTTGGTGAAAGTGTTTGACATTAAACGTGAAGAGTTGTTGCAGCTGGCTTAATCCAGTCTTGTGGTTGTATTCAAATAGTTTCTTCATGTCAAGAGTGTTTGTGTTAAAGTAAAAATGTAGTGTTATGACTCCTGTTTGTAAACTTATGTGTCAAAGTCAATAATACCTCATCATACTTGCTCTAGTGAAAGTTGTTCCACCACAATGTCTCACTTCTCATTGTCATTTTCATGTTCAAAACATTTAAATTACAAGATAGATAGGAGTCAGTAACGTCTTCGACATTGTTCTCGCTTCCCTGTAGCTAATAAGTGATGGGAGTAAGAAGAAGATGATGAAAACTAGCTTTGTTGAAATCGTTGAAATCCCACCTGGAAAGCATGTATGTTCCTTTATGGCTTCCAGCTTTTCCTGATGTGGATTGAAAGGGGACTAGATCCTTGGGGAGCTTTGTTGAGTTTGCAGAGGAAACTTGTCTGTAGAATCTCCTCAGGGAGTCTTGTTTGTGGGGAGTTATGGATGAGTAGAAATGGCTTATCAGTGAAAGAGGCATTTGCTCCTGGCATGGAGGCTGCAAGAGATGGGGTTTTCAGTGAGTTGATGAAGAAAAAACCTGTTGCTCTATCTAAGCTCAGAACCAAGAAGAAGTTTCTTGGAGAACCTTTGGATCTTACTCAGCAGATGAAGGGTGAAGATACATCCATATCGTTGCTTGAAGAAGATAGAGATGACTAAAGGAGGCAGAGTTTGTTTTGAAACAGTGCATGGAGAACCCAGTAGACATCAATCAGTGTAAAAAAGTGATTTACTACAGTCTCTGTAGGGTAGTTCTTATAAATGTCTACACAAAAGATTGTGATTTAGTCTTTTTTTTCTTTACCTATGTTTAAAAATTATTTTTATCCATTCATTTTACTGTATATAATGAATATATATTTGGCAAATAAATCTGTGACAATCTTTGTAACGTGATGTGACTGTAAATTATAATGGTTCGTTATGCACCGTAGAAAAAAAGACAACGTCATCTACTCTCTCACTTTACTTGGGTACTTGCAACTGGAAACATGTTAAAGGAAATGACAAAATTAGATAGTATGTGGCGTAAATGTCTGTCTGATATTAGAGAGTAGATGACGTTGATCTCTTAATTCTTGCCACTTACCTATTTATTAAGCCATAATTACGAAAAAGTAAATATCTGATATAACATTATATCAAAATCCTTGCCACTTACCTATTTATAGGAAAAACAATCAATTCCGCAGTAACCTTGTTCTCTTAATTCTTTTCATACACAAATTGTTGGATCAAGCCAAAATGATAAACTAATTGCTACATAACCGGATTTGATTTTGGTTTCTTAGCTTAGAATGCTGAGGTGGCATACACAAGGCTAAAATATGATTAATCGGTTTTAACATTAAAACAAATTGAGTTTTTTTTTTCCAATTCAACTCGTCAAAACAATGTCGTTTTATCATCTTAATTTACAAATATTTGAAAAAAAATTATAATTATGATTCGTCGTTATCCCAAAATAAAGAAGAAGAAAGAAAAGAGAAGCAATATATTTGAATTTATATTTTTAATATATATTTAATATATTTTGCTCATATATTTTTTAATTAAATTTTATATTGATTAATCAAATGAATAATGGGCATTTACATATGGATGTTGCTATAAGACGATAAATAAATGGAAATGAAATCTACAAAACCCAAAAACTGAAAACATGATCATCCAGCATAAACCTCGAACCATCTGCCCCAAGAGGTCCTCCAACTTATGATCCCCTAATATCATGAGACAATCCGATTTCGAATCATCTTATCTATACTGCGGATCATAGCATTGGTATCATGGCAAGGCCCCTGGTGCCTTCTGGAGTTCCTCTCCTTCCAAATCAGGTATATAGCAGCTTAAAAAGCTAACAAAGAGGAGAATTGAGTCAAGTTTGATCCGAGTAGGACGCAGCAGAGTAGTGACTGTGCTAGTCTAGACCGGAGTTACATTTGTGACTAGAAACGTGGTGACTAGAGCAGTCCAAACTGTAAACGTATATGGACATGCAAAGAAGATATGATCCCGCTTTCGTTCCTCTCCCCGCAGAACACACAGCCCTGTGAGATGCCCAAGTTTCTCATACGAACTTCTGTAGATAATCTATCTCGAGAAGAATTGTCTCCCATTGTTTTCTATCATCAAAGAATAATCCAAATGTGAAAAGAATTTGTAACATCCCGAGTTGTGATATGGAAAGGATTAAGAGAATTGATTTGGCTACCTATGTCACCAAAGTGCACTTACCTTTTCGGGAGCACATCTAGAGAGAACTCCAGAGTTAAGCGTGCTTGAGCTGGAGTAGTCAAAGGATGGGTGACCTATCGGGAAGTTATTTGCGATACCGTGTAAGTGAGACCAAAGCACGAGGAAGGTCATGTGATGATTGCAGGGTCAATAAACATGACTCTAGAGCCTTGGAAAATGAACAGAATGGGCCCACGGGCCGAGTGAGCGGGTGTGGGTGGCCCATTAGCCGTGGACGGTCGGGGCATTTACAAGTGGTATCAGAGCTGGCTAGCCATCTGAGTTCTGACCTGAGAGGCGTCTTGAGACCTGTCGGGGAGCACAACAGGGACGTTGCGTTCTTTGAGAGGAGGTGAATTGTAACATCCCAAGTTGTGATATATGGAAAGGATTAAGAGGATTGATTTGGCTACCTATGTCACCAAAGTGCATTTACCTTTTCGGGAACACATCTAGAGAGAACTCTAGAGTTAAGCGTGCTTGAGCTGGAGTAGTCAAAGGATGGGTGACCTATCGGGAAGTGATTTGTGATACCGTGTAAGTGAGGCCAAAGCACGGGGAAGGTCATGTGGTGATTGCAGGGTCAGTAAATATGACTCTATAGCTTTGGAAAATTAACGGACCGACCGTTGGAACGGGATGGGCCTACAGGCCGAATGATCGGGTGTGGGGGGTCCATTAGCCGTGGACGGCCAGGGCGTTTACAGAATTGTCTCCCATTATTTTCTATCATCAAAGAATATATAAATGCAAGAGTCATCATAAACAGTTGAGTTGTTAAACAGAGCTTCAAACATTTCATTCTTTACAGCACAAATCCGAAGAAGAACTGAGTTCCTTGCATGCTTGCTTGTGTTTTTCAGGTGCTGCTACTTAGAATTGTTGGGATGCTTGATGATCCTCTGCAGAATCACAGTCCTTGCCCTTCTTATATATCCGCTACACAAATCAGCATGTATTCCCAATTCCTCTACATTTTTCTTAAACACCTCAAGCTTCTTCTTTATTTCATTGATCCCAAGCCTGACTTCCTCATGCTCCACTGCGATTTCAGCACACTTCACCATTCCCCTGATCTCAATCTCCAACCGTTCGATCAAAACCCGGATATTATCCAAGTCGTTAACCGCCACATATGTCCCTGCCTGCATCAAACTTATCACCTCTTTTTGTCCTTTAAGTGTATTCTCATAGTTCTTCCACATAGAATCAATCCATTTTCCCATTGAGCCTAGCGGCACAACAGTAGCTACAGCCAGAGCCGCGGCTACGGGAGGAGCTGCCATGGCTGCAGCCACAACGGAGCAGATGAGTACAGTGGCGAAGGTAGTCATGAAGATGATGCTGGAGAGTTTTCTCCATGTGTAGATGCACTTGAGCTTCTTGTCAAGCTTGTTCTTGTGAAGCTGTAGCTTCTCAAGCATCAACATCTGGTGTCTGTACACAGACTGGAACATCTTGAAGAATTCGTCGTTGAAAGGAGACTCTACGTCTTTCAAATTCCTCAGCTCTTCAAGTGTCTTCTCGTATCCATTACAACCTGCGAACCTATGATGCACCGGGACGGATAAGTGTCATCATCATGGTTTCACTTCTGAATTCTTACCTTCGACAATATATTCGGTGTAGAGAATCATTTAATGCTTTCAATTTCAACAATATATATTCTTAATCAAAAGTGATGAAATAAAAAGTGACTGCACATGTTAAAAAGCTCATGTTGTTAAGCCCTAACTTGCACTTATGTCCCCACGCCGTCCCAGCACCGTCCCCATGCCGTTCCCGTTTCAGAAACGTTTCCGGTACCGGGACGTCACTCAAACTCACGTCCCCGTGCAGCATAGCTTCGAACATTACAACCAATATATAGGAGGTTAAGATATTGTAATATATTTGGATATACTTGAGTATTAGAGATAATTATGTAGTTAGTTGTGGGAGTTATCTCTAAGAGTTGTGTTAGAGTCGGTGGTCTATGTAATATATAAACTCGTGTACACATATGAATAAACACAACCTTTTCATCAGATTTACTTGGTATCAGAGCAGAGATTTGAATAAACGTGTACTACAAGAAATCTTTTCTTTTAGTAATTGATCGAAGTTTCAATGGGAGATAAAGACCAGTCGAAGCAGATCGTGGCAAAACATGGAGATACGGTGGTGATGACTCCATACACGGTGTTTACTTCAGACAATCCAGGTGCTTTAATTACATCTGTACAGCTGAAAGGGGACAATTATAGTGAATGGGCGATGGAGATGATGAACGCGCTTAGAACAAAGAAGAAGTCAGGGTTCGTAGATGGAACTTTACCAAAGCCAGCAGAAGACAGTCCAGATTTGGAGTCTTGGTTGAGTGTCAATTCGATGATAGTGGGGTGGATTAGGATGTCGATAGAGCCAAAGGTCCGATCAACAGTGACTTTTATTACAGAAGCTCACAAGTTGTGGGAAAATCTGAAGAAGAGGTTTGAGATTGGGAATAAGGTGCGTGTGCATCAAGTGATGGAGCAATTGGCCTCGTGTAGGCAGAATGGACAAACAGTAATTGACTATTATGGTCGGTTAGCTGTGATGTGGGAGGAACTGCAGACTTACAGACCACCTCCTGCATGTAGCTGTTCAGCAGCTGCGACATATGAGAAGGAGAGAGAAGACGAACAAGTTCATCAGTTCATAATGGGTTTAGACGAAGCAAGATTCGGCAACGTTGTGACTGCTATTATTGAAGCAGATGAACTTCCAGATTTGGGAAAAGTATATGCAAAAGTAATTAGAGAGGAAGCAAGATTAAATGCAGCAAAGTCACGTGAAGTTGCGACGCAAGAAGCTGTTGGTTTTGTTGCGCGAAGAGATGTCTCAACAGAGGAACCTGCAACTAACAGAGATTCTCGAGAGGCTAATGGTTTTGCAGCAAGATCTGATAACAATGGTTTGAGTTTTGGAAACAGAGCAAGAGATAGAATTTGTTCTAACTGTGGGAAGACTGGACATGAGAAAAACAATTGCTGGCAGATTATTGGATATCCAGAATGGATGAATGAAAAACGAGGAAGAGGATCAGGAAGAGGAGGTCGTGGTGGTTTCAATGGAAGAGGTGGAGGTCGTGGCTCTGCTCATACGGCACATGCTACGAGTTCTTACGGTTCCGGAGTTTCAGACCTCACTCCTGAGCAATGGAAAGCGATTACGTCAATCATCCATGAAGGGAAATCCAGCAATCAATCTGAGAAGTTGTCTGGTAAGAGTCTTGGTGATGTAATAATTGATTCAGGGGCCTCACACCACATGACAGGTGACATAGGCCAACTTGTTAATGTGAGGACAACCCCACCGTGTGTTGTTGGTTTTGCTGATGGTGGAACTTCAACTTCTTGTAAAAAGGGTGACATGATTCTTAATGATCGTATCTCACTTCGAAATGTGATGTTTGTGAAGTTGGAGTGCACTTTGATATCGGTTTCCAAGTTGTTGAAGTTTAGTAATTGCTTTGCTTTGTTCACTGACACAATTTGTGTTCTACAGGACCGTTCTTCGAAGACTCTGATTGGAGCCGGTGAAGAACGTGATGGGGTGTACTATTTTAAAGATGTGAGAGTCGTACGAGCAAACAGAGCAGAGAGTGGTGGTAATGGACTGTTGTGGCATCGACGACTTGGACATCCTGCTTTTGGTGTTTTTAATTCTTTGTCTGAGCTTTCTGGTGTTGGTAATAAAGCTTACTCTAGTCCTTGTGACGTGTGTTTTAGAGCAAAGCAAACAAGAGATGTGTTTCATGATAGTATTAATAAAACAAGCAAGTGTTTTGAGCTTATTCATGTAGACGTGTGGGGACCGTATCGCGTACCTGCTTCCAGTGGTGCTAATTATTTTCTTACCATAGTCGATGATTTTTCAAGAGCTGTATGGACCTATTTATAACTCGCAAAGTCAGAGGTTAAACAAGTGATGCAACGTTTCTGTGTTTATGCTGAGAAGCAGTTTGGTCTTTCAGTTCAAAGTGTGCGAAGTGACAATGGTACGAAATTTATGTGCTTAGGAGAGTACTTTCGAGACAAGGGAATAATACATCAAACAACGTGTGTGGACACACCACAACAGAATGGCCGAGTGGAGAGAAAGCATAGGCACATTCTGAATGTGGCAAGGGCATTGTTGTTTCAGTCAAACATGCCGGTGAAGTTTTGGGGGGAGGCTATATCAACAGCTACTCATGTGATTAACTTGACACCTTCAAAACTGTTGAAAGGAAGCACTCCGTATGAAAAGTTGTTTGGTACCAAGCCTACGTACGATGCACTCAAGGTATTTGGGGGGAGACAAGGGAAGATTGATTTATTTGTCTATAACCCGTCCAGACATTTCTTATCCAGTACACATACTGTCTCAGTTTATGAAAGCACCAAGGGAGTTGCAGTGGGAGGCGGCAATGCGTGTTGTGAGATATCTAAAGGGTACGGCTGGACAGGGTATTTTGCTCAGTTCTCGGACTGATCTTAATTTGTCAGTGTATTGTGATGCCGACTAGTCGGCGTGTCCAGTTACCCGAAGGTCTTTGAGTGTGTATGTAGCGTTGATAGGTGATTCGCCGGTTTCGTGGAAAACAAAGAAACAAAAGGTGGTTTCACACTCGTCTGCTGAGGCGGAATACAGGTCAATGGCGCAAGCAACAAGGGAAATAAAATGGCTGCGGAGGTTGTTGTGTGACTTGGGAGTGAAGCAAGTGAAGTCGTCTGAGTTGTTTTGTGATAGCAAAGCAGCTATATATATAGCAGCCAATCCAGTCTTCCACGAGAGAACCAAACATATAGAATCCGACTGCCATCAAGTGAGAGATGCAATACAAGATGGCATACTGAAGACTGTTCATGTTCAAACAACAGAGCAAGTGGCGGATGTGTTGACTAAGGCTCTTGGGAGAGCTCAGTTTGAGACATTATTGTTCAAGTTGGGAGTAAGAAATTTTCATACTCACAACTTGAGGGGGAGTATAGGAGGTTAAGATATTGTAATATATTTGGATATACTTGAGTATTAGAGATAATTATGTAGTTAGTTGTGGGAGTTATCTCTAAGAGTTGTGTTAGAGTTGGTGGTCTATGTAATATATAAACTCGTGTACACATATGAATAAACACAACCTTTTCATCAGATTTACACAATAAAAGGATAATGAGTATTAAAGTTCGGTTAGCTCTGGAATAGGATGATGTTGCAACTTCTAACTAGGCCTACGATTTTATTCGGTTTTGTTAGTTCGGTTTGTTTAAAATCTCATGGAGAACCGAAAATAAGTTCCATTCTCGGTTATTTCAGTTTTTAAAAAGTCTACCAAATTTATCGTCAGATTGGGGATGAAACTTTGAGGACTTTAGGATGTTTAACAGTCTTCAAAGCCATTTTTACCCAATCATGCTTTACATTTTTCTAAAGTCTCAAAAGTTACTTTCAGTTATTTTTTTCTTTTGTTCTTCTTAAATTTTGATTTAGAGGTTTTGGCGGAAAAAATTTTTTTTTTACGGTTTGGTTTTGGTAGGAAAACATATTGTTGCGGTTTTGGTGGAAAAATATAATTTACGTTTTTGGCGAGAAAATGTGTTTTATGGTTTTGCGGTAAAATACATTTTTTATAATAGTGATAAAATGCAATTTTGTCATTTTTCGTGAGTGACAAAATGATATTAGATTTAGGTTAGTAATTTATAAATTATATAAACGTATAACATATATTATACTATTTTGATTTTGACAGAACCATCTTTATCTAGATGGTCCAAATTGGTTGTGATGGGATGAATTTTAAAATTAAACCATTAATTTCAAAAGTCATTCATGTGAACCATGCATATGAGTTTTATTTTTAATGTCTAAACAACAAAAATGTCATCTCCATCTAGATGACTCATTTGGATTGTGAAAAAAACATGTCCTTGTTTGGTTAGGTTTAGATGAAAACTTTGTAAAAGTCGCAAAATATAAATCGGTTACTTTAGTTTTTTCAGATAGTTTGTTTTTGTGTTATATCGGTTAGTTGTTCTGAATTTGTATGTGTTTTTTGTTTAAAAACCAAACTAACCGACTACTGAATAGAACCGATATATAATTGTTTTTAGAAAGTTTGATGGACTGAAGCGAACTCATATCTATACTCTAATTTGTTGTTGGTTCGGATATAAATCCGAGGGCTATTACTAATCTTTATACTACCACTTAATGGATAAAGACTTAAAGGGTGAACTAAGTTAAGTATTACCTTTAACAAGGCTCTCATCTTCAAACTGCTGAAGAGCAACAAGGATCAAAAGCTGACTATCACGAGCCTTTCTCAACCCTTTCTCCAAAGCAGCACAGAAATCAAGTGTCTTCAAGCTATTCTCAATGTAATCTTCAACGAGATCAAACATTTCTTGATTCTTCCATATATCTTTCTTACAATCCAATATCACTTTCACCACTTCTTGATTCATCTCAAGCAAACACTCGGTCACTTCTTTGAGGGAATCGAACGAGAGCGCTCGAACCTCAACACCCGTAGCTAGCGTGCTTATCAAGTGACCTGTCCGTGCATGTAAACATGTGTCGAAAGATTGCAGCTCCGTGTCTGCTTTACATGCAGCCTCGTATGATCTCAGCTCTGTTGTGTGGTGCATGGTTGTTGTTGTTGTGGTCTTAGAAGATGTTTCCTGTGACTTTTTGCTTGTTTGGTTTCCCATTTTTTTCTTAGAATTACTCTGAAAAATGAATAATACTGTTCTTTGACATAGAAATGCGTATCAGGATTGGAAGAGTTATAGACAGAAATCAGAAAAAGAGTAATAATGAGAATCGTTAAGGAAATGGAATATAGCTTGCACGCATGATGATGATGAGAATTAGGGCATTGTGTAACGCGGCAAGTAAACGTTTTAGCCGCCTTTTTGCATACGCAAATCATTTCTATATATCCTACTTTTTTTGTTTTATGTGCGTGTCTAATTTACTACGTGTATATTCTAGTTAACTGAAAGAAAAAAAAATACATCTTGTTTGCGTTTAAATATGTAATGTAAAGTTTACGCAATTATATCTACCACGTGTTTAAATCATGTATGGTGAATTCTCAAACGTAGATTGTCATCTACAAAAAGGATACCAAACAAAGAATGTAATAGTTTGTTCAAATTTGTTATAAGTAAGTTAAAAAAAAAGAATTGTTATAAGTACTTGCACCTTCTTACTTAGTTAGATTCTTGATTATCATGACGATACTATAGTTGTATTAGCTCATCTTCTTATTAGTTGTTAGGATACACTATATATTTTCTGTAATAATGCATTTCTACCCCTACCCACAACCGGCTTGACTTGAGAATTCTTTTAAAAATATATATTTTTTGGATTAACTAGTGTATGTTTCTTTTCGTATGGGTTTATGTTCTTATAGTAGAGTTTATATATATATATATATATATATATATATATATATGTATATATATATATATATATCCGTTGATCCTATTTTGGGTGTGTATTAACATTAGAATAAATCATATTACTCCAAATAATTTTGTGTGTGTATTAACATTAGATTAAATCATATTACTCCAAATAATTTTGAAATCAATCCATCGTTGACTTGAAGTACAAGAAACAAAAGAAAAAAGGAAACAAAACAAAATCTAACAACGAAACAAAGTAGTGAAGTGGAATTAGGGTTTAGAGCGTGAAGAAGAGCGAGGAATCGGGGAGATAGAAAACTTCATGTTGTGGTTGCAGCCGTTGTGATCTCCACTAGCGAAGTAGTAAGTCTCATGAGTCTTGCGGAGAAGCAACTTAAACCCTAATGATGAGCCTCCTCTTGCGACTAGCTTCTTGCCTCTGCTCACATCGCATCTCTTGTAGCTCTTCAAATCTGAAAGCAAGTAGACATCGTTCTTGTTGTTGTTGTGCCTCTTCTTGGATTGACTTTTATCGTTGAACTTGAAAACAAGGACATCGTTGGTGTGGAAGGGTGCATGCTTTGAAGCCCATTCTTGGTAGTCGAATCCGTTCTTCCACACAGTAACCTCAATCTTTCTTCTACGCGATACTTGAGCCGTGTGGTTGTTGTGTGAAGAGCCAATAATACTACCGCTTGTGTGGTTTGAGCCCGAGTTATGCTTGTTGTGTGTAGAGCCAGAGTGGTTTGAGTGGTTTTGGTGGCTTTTATGTATAGAGCCGGTGCCGCTTGAGCCAGAGCTGCTTCCCCAACCCCAGTTTATATCTGTTCCGTTCGAGCTCCATCCCCAACCCCAGCTTGAACCACCTGAACCAGAGCCAGCGTTGTTGTCGGAGCCCCAACCCCATCCCCAGTTCGAACCGGATTGGCCAGAACCCCAGCTCCAGCTCCATGCATGAGCAGTACCGGAAAAGAGGTAAGCAGTGAGCACGAGGGCTAAGAGTAGCTTGTTTGCCCTAGGAAGACCCATAGCTTCTTATTCTTTGATTAAAAAAAAATAGATAGCTTTTTATTTATTCTTTGTTTTCTTTCTCGTTGTTTGCTGTTGTGAGATATCGAGAGTTGAGAAGTTCTTTATTTGATAATCTTATCTCCAAAATTAATCATTAAAAGGAATTCCTTTTCCCCCTTTTAAAATAATGTCAATTTTGATTGTGTTGTCTCCAAAATCAGATCATGAAGGAATTTCCTTTGCAAATCTTATATAATAAAATAGGGAAAGGGGTTTTTAAATCCCATACTATTTGTAAAAAGTAATATAAATACGTACTGAAGTTTTAGTTGCACGTTTTAATTCTTCAATTTAATGTTGACTTAGTAGTAAAGAATTAAAAAAGTCAGCCGTTAGTATGATACGCAAACATTGTTGTTCGTGATTTTCTTTGAAAACTCAGGATCCCCAAACTAAAACCCTAACTAAAGTGCAAAGAAATTTACGGTGTGATGGTGAAAATGTTCACCGGAAAACATGGAGGACCACATAATAAGCATCAAATCCGAAAGGGGGTCATTGAATCCTATAGTTCCTGACTTTCCCGATGTTTCTGATTCTCCAAAAGTAATATACACTAAGGGAGAAAGGTAAAATACACAAACAACTCAAAAGCAAGATGTTTTGAATTTCCTAATCTTTTTTTTTTTTTTGCATCCGAAGACTTCTTCTTTCACATGGTGTTTTATGCAGAAGCTGTGTTCTACGGATCAGCGCTGGTCTAAGGTGTCCTTCACAGTCAATGAGGTACCATACAATGTTACCACTAAATTATCATTCTCAACAAATATTTTCATTAACTCACACATAACTCAACAGAAACTTTTTGTGTCGTTTATACAAATATGAAAGGCTAGCAACCTTCAATACAATCCAACAATCTCTTTCAAAATCTATATTTCAAATAAATGTAAATAAAGTCATTTTCTAACATCAAAGACCTCCTTAAAAATCTTAGGAGATATTATCCCTCGGACTAACCAATCCGTAACTTCATGTAATCATCACAATCCTTGACAAAGAGGCGTAAAAGTCAAAACAACAATTTCTACAAGACTATGACCTTTTAATCTACATCGTTTATGTTCTTTGCCACTAAAGAATACATTATCTTTTTAACTTTCACATATTTTTTCCAACAAAATACGCGCTCGGCAAAAATTATATTTTGTTATATGTACAAAACAATCATACTTTAATTAAACAATATATCACAACTACAAAAGCTCAAATACAATTTTAAAAAAGAAAAGAAAAGATGATCTTCATTTTTAACCGCTCATTCAGTGACTTAAACTTGCCACAAGTAAACAACTACAACATTAATTGTAAACCAACTTTTACATTAAAATTAGCATATTAAAAATTACATTTGATAAAATAAATACTTAATATAAAACATAAAAAATATATAGTCTGCGCGTAGCACCCACTAGTTTGTTAACTTTATTTATGAATCTTTCTTATTCATCATATGGGATTATAATTGATTTTGGTACAATTGTATATACATAGCGTTTGTTAACTTTATTTAATGAATCTTTCTTATTCATCATATAGGATAATAGTTGATTTTGGTACAATTGTGTAGTTGGAGGAATATTTGCCATTAGATAAAAAAGTTTCTTATGTCTACTTTTGCTTAAATAAAATACTTCAAAATACTTATAAAATTGGATCCAGAAGGGTTTTGGATAGGTTCTCGACATTATATAGTTCAAGTTTTGTGCATAGTAAAGAAGTGATATCAATGACTCAGCAACCTAGATTAAGAAAGCACTTTCATCTATTTTATATAGTTAACTTCGTCTTTTAACTAGAGTGTTGTTTCTATTCATTAAAAACTATTACCTATCTTTTATTTTGTCTCGATTTCTAGTTACAAGACTAAGAGGAGACTAGGAAGAAGTAAAACCCTAGAGGAGATTACGTAGAGAGAGAGAGAGAGAGGTTTCTGCGGAGGAAGAAGGTTTGTTTTGGGTGGTTTACTTGTTTGCTTCTCTCCCAAGCATTTGAATTTTGATATAATAACAACGCTAAAAGAATATCATTAAGATGAAGACTGTCGATGTTACAAATGAAGTTTGAGTATATGTGTTCGATGTTACAATACCATATGAACCGATCTCACACTGAGATTTAAGTCAAACAAAATTCTGTAGTCCGATTAAAGCCAGATTAAAGCCCGGACATGAATCTAATCTATTAAAACTAAAGTATAAATATAAATTAACCCTTGAAACAACATTTTAATTACACCCTAATGCCATTCCCATTTTTCATTTTACCATTATTAACTTTAATAAATATTTCAACTTACAAAATAAGTAACAAATACCAGTTTCCTTAAAAATTGTATTTGTTACACCAAATTCCCTAATATTATGCTAACTAGGATAAGACCTGCGCCTTGCGCAGGGTGAATATATGTAATTAAAATATAAAATTTTAGTATTGACAAATTTAAAATTTACATATGATTGTTTTTGTATGTATTTGAAATTTAAGAATTTTGAAATTTTTATATAATTATCTATACGTATGATAAGAAACAATTTTAGTTAAAAATGTAGATCAAATCTTAGAATTTAATGGATCTGATTTCATATATCTTTTCACTTTTCAGTGTTCGAGTGATGGAAAATAAATGGAGTGTCACTGGGGTTGATTGGTAGAGTATTAGCAAGTTCCCTAATGTTTTTTAAGAAGCAATTGGTAAAATATTTGCATTTAAAATATATTAAGTTTCAAAACTAATTTAATATAATTTATTTATCTGTCTAATAATATTAGAAAATTATATTTTTTTTACAAATTCTTATTTTTTATAATAATTTATAAAAAATTATGTTAAATTTTAAATTATTTTAAAAAAAAATATTTTAAGTTTTTCAAATACAAATAAACAATTTAAAATTAATTATAGTCATGATTTAACATAATCATTATGATTTAAAAAAATTAAAAAGTTAAAAATTAACAAATTAAAAATTAAGTCAGTTTTATATCATGATTTAACAATTTAAAATTTAATTATGGTTATGAGAAGTTTACGTTCACGTGTCAGTCCTATTTATCTTCTATTTTTCTCTTGCTATGTTTTTTTATATTTTGGTTATTAGTCGATATAAATATTTATTTTGAATTTTATTCTCATTTCGTTTGTTTTAGAAAATACTTAAGATTTAAAATAATTAAAGAGATACATGCTTAGGTTAAGATCTGCACTAAATGCACAATAAGTA